AAGTTCAAATATAAAAGCAGTTCAGATGATGACTAGAAAGTCATTCTATTAAATACCCAAGATGTCTTTCTCTGTAACTGAATCAAGTTTTACAGATCAAGCTACAATTCAGTGCTACCACTTCTGCTCTAACACAGTAAACGAGCATGAAATTCAACCAAGAATGAAACACAAAAGGAAACTTTGAGGCCATAACTGATGTTGTGGGAACAATATTGGGGCCCTATAAAAGAAAAAACCCTAAAACAAATTATGTCCTCTGAAATTGAGGTGTATAAATCAAGGAGGAGTCATAGAAAAACTCCTGTTGTCTCATCCAATCAAAAAAATCTCCTAAAAGTCATCAGCAGTTGTCCATAGTCCTCTGACATTGGTCTGACTGAATCTCTAAAGCACCTAAACCAGGTATAAGCAGCTTTTTGATTTGGGGTGAGTTTCCATGCAATAAAGGTGGAAAGGAACAAAAAGAAGAGAGAAAAAAGTTAAACCAGGTAAGCACCCAGTCTATTTTCAGCAGTGTCTTTCAACTGGCAACATGAAGGCAAGAATTATCCACTCCAGAACAACAGGAAGCGAAATAGCTTTCAAATTATTTGACTACAAAAGCATTATCTTCCTGAATGTTTTTGCAGTGAGCTTTGCTCTCCTGTTCTCAGACTACTCTTAAGGAGTTTAGGGCTTTAAAAGCAAGCAAAACAACATTTACTTGCCTGTCACCTCTACCACACACACACTCACCCACTCCCTCTCAAATGTAAAATAATTTGAAGATACAAAGTAAAGGGATGTTCCTTTTAAATGCAGTTTGACAGTCCTTTGTCTTTTCAAGCCATTCCACATTTAGAGATTTAAATATTTGCATATTTATTTGGTTTCTGTCAAAATTCTGGTATGACAGTATGCACGTGTGCATGTGTGCCTGTGTACACAGGAGTGGAGGACACTGAGGTCAGCAGGGAAGATTTTTTTTCCATATGTACACAGAATTTTTCACAACCTCAAAGGGAGATAATGCCAGGCAGATAAAATTCTCTCAAAAGCCAGGGAAGCCCCACTTTGTCAATTCACTGAATTTTCCACACAAGGGTTGTTTTAGGGGGAATAACATACAGCTTAGGAGAAATCAAATGTATACATGACACCAAGACCTAAGGCACAGATAGAAACATTCTAGAAAGCCTCCCTTCAAAGAGGGGTCTAGGAAAGCATGGAAGAACATGCCAATCAGGTCAAATGGTATTAATCAAGCATCCTTTGGTTTTGTGCAGAGATCAGAATGTCAAGATGAAGCCTGTATTTGTCTCTGTTCCTACCACTCATTAATTACTCCAATTCCAGCTTGCTCCTGGACTTTTACCACTTATTCATCCTGCTAACAGGGAGCATCATACAAACCTAATAACTACACCAGACAATGCACAACTTCTTTAGAACTTGTATTTAGGATGGGAGCCATCTACAATATTCTGATTAATAGAATTCAAGGTCAGAAGGAACCACTACACAATCTCAGTTTGACTTTGTGCATATCAGAGATCATAAATATTTTATCTAGCCACTCCTTTACTGAGTGAAATGTGTTGGATTTGACCCAATATGACTTGTATTCAATTATATGGGGATTCTTTAAAAGTGTAGCACTGACCAGTTCAAGACAGACATGCATGATCTGTAATTCTGTTTGGGCTATGGGCACAGTGTGTTTTGCTTGCTTAAATGTACTTTGGTGACACCGAGGAAATTAACCACTTAAATTAGGGAGAAAAGTGTAACCAAACTTTTGTTTTAAAGAAATATAGTATTTAGACTCCACAATGGGTAAGAAAGACAGACTAAGGAGTCCAAATATAAACCAAAGTGAAAAGCTAGACAGGAATGAATACATACGTGGTCAATCTTTTCCTATCAATCCTCAGTAGTTGTACTGTGCAGATGGGAGACATAAAATAGTGTTTTTCCTCCTGTGTTTCCAAGTGAAGTGAAATCACACCCCTCACAAGGCTGACTGATAAAAGAAAAGAATTCTGATTTGCAATAATAAGGTGACAAATACACTGAATCACTGCTTCAAAGAGCAGCCACATCATTTCTGGTAATTGAACTATGTGGAAAGTATCTTTTCACTTTTCCTTCCCTCCCTCCTACGCTCTTGCCAAGTAAGCAACCTTTGATTTCAACTTTTTCTCTTTATTATGATAAGATTGGCAATTTTTTAGTAGTGCCATGAGCATATTTCTCCACCACAAGTTATTTTAATAACTGCTTTCCCTCCAGTTGTAACCAGCTCACAGTGCAATGAGCATCACGGGTTTTCCATCCACATCCAGATAAAAACTGCAAAGGGACCAAATTTTCAGCAGTTCAGTCACATTACCCATTCTTATTCCTTTAAGGTCCCTTTCAACTTCCCATTCAATCAGTGAGATCTAAGCTTAAATCCCAACATCTCATTAGTCCCTGGGCTTTGAAGTCTGCTTCTAGTGCACTTTGCTGATGAGACAGAACTCTAATGTCATTGCTACTAGCCATGGTAAAAACCAGGGACGAGCAGCCTGACAAGCAGGCAACCACACTGCAGGGGAGGCATTACAGAATCTCTTCATCTGAAAAGTTCAGCAAAAACACAAGTGGGTCTGTTCTTGGACAATTTGTCTACTGATTTCTTTCTAGAAAACCGGATACCTGCTTTTACCATGCGAATACGCACGCAGATATCTGTGCATCTCAGTGAGATAGCCCAGCAAAAAAAACCTGAGGGACACTCCCCAGCCAATCACAGTGTTAAATGACTTTAGTGGAATCAAACTGACAGGCAATGATAAAAATGGGATCATTTAATGCACCGATTTTGAAAAGAATTTACACTTATTCAATATTTTTTACCCTGATGCAGCCCAAAGAATATCCCTTAATTGATTACAGCATTGTGTACCAAAGACCTAGATACAGATCTCCCCTCCATATCTACTCACTTCATTGCTATGACAACCTTTACACACTATTTCAACAATCCATTCCTTAGCTGAAGCCTGGATTTTTGTTGGTTCTGTCACAGGGACACAAGTTTTTGCATGTGTCACAAACTTCCAATGATACATCAGATCTACTGTAAAAAAAAAAAATAAATAAGAGTGCACTTCCTCATTTGCTTCAGAAAGCTACAGAAAGGCATGTTGGTACTTGGATCACACCATTTTGTCTTCCCCTTAGGTTCCTTTCCCCCCAGCAGCCCCCTTAAGCCCCCAGTTCCTCAACTCACAGTACTCCTGCTCAGGGAGAGGGCCATGGGTTAACCTTTCATGCCTCCTTCTTGCTAGAGTCCTGCTCACTCCTGACTGATCTCTGCAATGAAAGCCATTAGCTGCAAAATCTCAGGACAAATAAGAAAAAAACAATACTCCCTGTGCTTAGTCCCACTCCTCAAGCCTATTTTATTTATTTTTTTTTAACTTTGGCCCACCAAGTGGAGAAGATTGGGGACAACGCCGAGAGAAACTACACCTCCCTGAAGGAGAACCTACTGACCCCACCTCAGCATGTGCAATGCCCAAATGTTTTAGCTGCTCCTCTCTTTAGCACTGTGATAGCCCACTGATCACCTCCAGGCTGCCTGCTTTTGGACCTGGAAGAAAACTACTCAGGGGAGGTACCAGGAAAACATTACTCACAGTTTGCATAGCTCGTAAGAATCCAAATCAAGTCGTGAGAGGAATCACAGAGGTAACAGGGTCATTCCAGAATGTGAACACTCAGCTGGAATGAATATCCCAGTGCTGTCTCAAGATGGACAGACTATCACTGCTGTAACAAGGCAGTTTAGCTGCACCAGAGCACAGCACTTGCTGAGACAGCCACAGAAAAATGCTATGCAGTATTTTGCATTTTAAACATATTTTTCTATGTTTTATAATATGTGTTGAACATAACCTTCCCACACAGAGCAAATTAAGCTAAGTCCTTCAGGTTTTTCAGATAGAAGGCAAAAAGAACAAGCAAAAAAGATGAAGAAGCAAAAACAGACTACAAGTCCATGTGGTTTGATACAGTTTCTGAGATAACAAAAAAGCCAATTTCTTAGCATTACAAACTCAATTCTTGTCTCTGAAACACTACTACATTTATCTACAGATGTGTTTTGTATGTGCACGTTTTATGAGGAAGGCAGCTGAACTCTGCAAAGTGCAAGAAAGCAGTTCACAGATTAAATGTGTGTGAATTTCATGTACCTATCCTAACTGCAGAACCCATGCAGTCTAAAACTGCTTTCTTGCACTTAACTGCAGAGCCTGCTACTCACCTGCAATGGCTGTATCAGGAAAAACAATAAAAATCAGCTCCTTTATTTGCTAGAAAAAAAAGCATGTCTTGAAACTGATCATATGCAATAATAACACTCATTAAAATAAAAAATACACAAAACATAGCCTGAGATTTTAATTCTAGTATTTTTGCCATGAGTTGACATCACTGACGGATTTTTCTTCTCCTTTGGTTTTTTATATGATCCTGTTTAACAGTTTCTACTATTCAAGTAAAACAAATGGAACTGAATACCAGAAAACAAAATAAAAAGCATGTTTTGTTTCATTAAACTGAAGGTATATTTCCCCTTGAAATACATTCCTTGGTGTACAAGATTTACACTCCAGAGAACTCAGTACTTGAAGCTGTTTCATAGAAATACCTTTGTTGCATATAGTTGCATGCTGCATTGATGGAGATATATTGCTGCCTGCAGGACTCAAACCTGCTAAAGTTACCTGAGCTTGGTGTTTTCTCACTTAGTGGAGTACAGCACAGCACTGAAGAGGAATCAAAACGTTACGACAACGTTGCATCATACTTCCACATACTCTGAAGGCAGAGCCAGATGCCCTGAACAACCCCTCGGGTGATGGAGAGAATTCTTTTTAAAGTGCACCAACTGAAAGGAGACTCGCCAGGCTGCTGCTCTGGCAGGTTCTCCACCACTTGTATGAGCAACTCCTTCTCTTTGGTTGTTAGGTTTCGCCAGCTGATTTGTTCATCTTGAAAACTGCCTCAGCAGCTTGCTCTGGCAGGAGTGATGGGTCTGACAGAACCGAGGTGGTTATACTCAGATGCCGGAGAGTGTTCAGCACCACTATAAAAAAAAAAAAGTCAGGGAAGTATCAAGCAAAGGTGTTAGTATGACTGCAAACAGACCTGTGCAGGACTGTGTGCAGGCACTGCAAGGCTGTCACCCATGACAGGACTGCAGAAATACTTCTGCAAGACATGCAGCCTTCACACACACCAAGAAACTGAGGTGTGCAAGAGCTGTGTTGGGGAACAAGGAATGGAGAACTAGGACTTAAAAAACCCCATCTATTTCTTCTACAAAAGAGAGTACTATTTGGCAATTATGACTGTAAACATTGATGAAATTGCTGAATTGCAAGAGGGAAAGGATCACGCAATCATGCCTAAGCAGAAGGTCTTTGCAAAGCTGAATACAAACCCCAGAAGTCCTCCTTCATAAGATAAATCACACTGCCAAACTCACTCCAGCTAGAGCAGAGTATCTGAAAGTTAAACGCAGCTTGAGACTGTTGAAATTCTGGTCTCTATATTCAGCAATTCAGGGGGTTTTGGTTTTTGGTGTTGTGGGTTTTTTTCTTTTTTTTTTTTTTTTTTTTTTAAGCACACAACCAAGTGTCTTCAGTGTCACAAGAGGTTCTTTTTTTCCACTGAGACAATAAAAAGGAACTGGAAGTCATATTCAGCATCACGTGCTTTCTTTGTCTTCCTCTGACTTTAAAGAAATGGTGTTATATGCAATCTCACCTCCTATGATCTGGAATAATAACAGGATAGAGCTTCACTTACTTGGCCTCAGAACAGGAAGAGGACAGTGCTGATCCAACCAGGCCAGTACAGTTTGATTCAGATCCTTAAGGCTTGTTGTGGAAACCATCCCATTGAAGGACTCAAACAACGGCTTGATAATAATGCTGAACTGCAAAGCATCAAGTGTTAAGGGAGAAAACAAAGGAGAAGTCCCATTTTCTATGGGAAATGCTACTACAGCTCAGACTGCAGATGAAACAATGGACTTCATCTACTACTGCTAACACTGTTGCTTTCCTGGCAAAAGGATATAGAAGCTTTAGAGTAAGCACTAAGCCACTGACCATAGCACACCACAGACACAAGGTAGGGTACCTGGATGAGTCTTGCCTGGCAACAGTGAGCCCAGCTCAGACCAACAGTGCAACTATTCAGCCCATTTCTCAGGCAGACTTTTGAGCAAATACTCAAGTTCTCAGCAGCTAGCCAAAGACCTCAAAGTACATAACCACATTTTCAGAGATGACCGATGGCATGGCAAGGATTCCCACACCAAGGACCAGACTTGCTGATCTGTGTCTACATGGACCAGAACAGTAGCAAGCTAAGGACTGTTGGGCTTTTCTTTTGACTCTTTATCACAACAACTTGGAAGGAGGGCCTGGAGTTGGCAGTAACCTTCCTGGCAGAAAAGGAGCAGACAGAATTCTTAGGCTGTAGTGTATTAAAACGTACAGAGCACCACCAGAAGCCTCAGCTGGCCCCAGCTCTCAGCCTTTCAGATGGGCTCTCCTGGGATGGTCACAATATCTGAACTCATACCAGCTTGTCACAGCATCTCCAAATAGATTCCAGCTCACAGGTACATTTATTACATAAGCTGGTTGAATGACAAAACTCATCTGAAGGCTCTGAATCTGTGGTTTTAACATATTACTCCAAATGGGATTTTCTGACTACAGGTAGCAGCACGTGAGAATCCAAAGCAATCTCAGCATTGTCATGCACCCCCATCTTTTTCACTGCCTCTGACAATCAGGAGAGGTCTAAAAATTGCCTGGAATACTTGAAGGAATTTGCATACCCCTATTACAGAGCAACTGGAAGAACAACATGGTTATTATTCTGTGGATATTCTAATAGTCAAGAGTATTCTGTTCTTGGGTTATCTCTAGTAGCCCAAGACTATATTACTCATTTCCTTCCTATATGTAACAGAAACTATGGTATTTTTCTATTTGTAATGAAACTGCCCTTCTCTCTTACAGTCATTTCATGAGGAGGAGATTTTAAATTATTATTAGCACTCACCCCTGGACCTTGTCAGCTTTTACTGCAAGACATTCTGAAATATGTCAGCACATGTTAAGGATCCAATCCAGCTGCTAGAACAACTGTTCCATCACAGTTACACGTAAAGGAAGTTTGGGAACATTACTTTGCCTATTAACATTCTCTTTTGTCAACTATAAAAGCCCTTGTCCTTCCCCAAACACTACAAACCCCAGCTACCCAAAACTGCATCTTCAGCCCTCATAACCCCTGTCACTTTCTGGAAGTGTCTCAATTCCAAATTCTGGAGCTATTTAACATCTTGGAGCAGCATAAAATAATCACACTATTCAATCAGCAAACATGTGCAGGATTATCTTTACATAACCATTTCACTGTTATATCTAAGACCTCTATTTTTGTATTTCACTTGAAATGTTGCAGAGTTAACAGTGCTGTCAAATCCAGATGTTCCACAAATGGACCAGCTCTAAGTCATGAGAGACTGCATGAGATCTCACTAAGAATTGTTCCCTAGAAAGATGCTAAAAAGAACAGTATCCTTCTAGGGCCAACATAAACCAGGAAACACCAAAGAAAGCATTTTCACATATCAAATATTAAAAATGCTGTACTTCAGGCATGCACATATATCCTATTACCCAGGTAGTAAGAGGGAAACGACCAGCACAGAACACAGACATACAAAATACAAAGCACAGATAAACAGCTACATGAGCACAGGAGGTTTAATGGGAAAAGGGAAGGTTCACACTACTGCTCATTGCTAATTACTAAAATCCCTGCACTGATTTAAGCTAACAATGTTTGATCCAAACCAGTGAAGTCTATAGAGCACAGCACAAATGCAGCTAATTTGGTTTCATTCAGTTTGTGTCTTTCTAGCTCCTGCACTAGCATTCGCTTACAGGCACAGCTGCTGGCACAGAAGGAGCAAAGAGAAATCAAGTTGATTCATTGCTGTAACAAAAGACAGACAACTACAAAAAGTAAAAAAGAAAAGGGGGTGGGGAGAAGAGAAACATGCAGGTTTTTCAAACTGCCATTGCAACAGCTTCAGTAATTGTTTGTAGTAATTTTTCCCCAAAAATCTTTTATTCTCTGCTCAGTGTTTCCAAAAGACTACAGGAGCTACAGCTACAGAAGCAGCCCATTAAACATTTCCTGCAGTACAATAACCCACCAAGAAAACCTTGTCTCTGTATTGAATTTTACTTTCAAGTTACCTCCCATAGTTCAAGGTGAGCAAGTTCTGCCTCACAATAGTCTGTAAGGCAAAGATTCATACCCACATACAGAGGTGAATGAAACCCAGGGACATAAGTTATTTAAATAACCTGCCTGAGAGTCACGGCATCAGAATCCAGAGTTCCTGGCTCTAAATACATTCATACCAAACCTCAAGTGCAGCAGGGTGATATAAAAAGGATACAATCCAAAACTTCCAGTTCTTCAGGGTCCTGCTTTTCACATACTCATCAAACATCCTCCTCATGTGGTCAAACCTTTGCTGTGTTACAGGAACTCCAGTATCAGGGAGCTGCTGTTGACAAGAACTGAAAAGAAGATGTTCTGAGGTGAGAAGCCCCATCAGAAAGGACAGACTTCTCTTCAGACTAAATTACAGCAAGAGAAAAAGTGTGCATCCCCAGTATCCCTGACCGAGGTGGCTCCCCAGTGCATGACCCCCCCAGTGTGATCATCACAGACAGGAATACACACTCTTTTCCCATCAATTTTGTCTATATTCATGCAGCAAAGCTATTTCTGAAATCAGCTTGAGAATATGTTTGATTTCACTTCTTATTACAAGCAGCAAAACTGAAAACAAAGTGTAACACAGAACAAAGTAGGTTTTGGCATCCAATTAGAAAAAGGCACATTAGGAGTCAAGGGAAAATTTACAGTTACTCCTGAGCAATGTTACAGAAGAAAGTGTTATGGAGATTCTTAAGAAACAGATCAATTTAAAATAAAACCAAACAGATGCCATCGTACTTCTAAAGAAAAATAAAAAGATTTTGATTTGCTGATAAGTCCAATGTAATGCCTAAGCCTAACACTTCTGCAGATGGAAGAAAAACCACTGGGGTCCTCAACATGCTTTGCAATAGTACATAACTATCAGAAACCCACAGAAGAAACTGAGGCACCAGGAAGGTGAAGTGACTTATCAGAGTTATACTCAGCCAGTGGCAAGCTCCACAATTCCAAGTCTTGGGTCTCATGTACACACTCAACTATCATTTCCTATAAAATTTGACTGCATTTGGAAAGAAAACTGCAGCAAAGCCATCATGAAGAGTAAGAGTATTTGATCACCCAGTGAGCATAGCCTTAAAAAATCATCGTTGCTGGCTTCTCAAAATTATTCTAAGTGACCTGATGCATCTTTCCTGATGCTGCCACTGTCATGCACTCATGCCCAGAGCTTGCTGAAAATCCACACGGCTTGCTACCAATGCCCAGCCCACAGCAACTCTGCTTTTTTCTTTGGAAGCTGGTAGCAACTCTACTGTTCAATACCCGAGGCAGACATTCCCTGTTGTCAGCCAAAGCAGTGTTCAAGCTGCTCTGCTTCATCACAGAAAGCTCCCCAGATCTCACATGATGGCAGCGTTTAGCTCCTCGATCTCCTCCCGGAGGCGCCTGGCTTCCTCTTGCATCTGTGTCCTTTCCTGCTGCAGCTTACCGATATATTCTACTGTTTTCTGGAGCGTGTTTGCATGGCTGATCTAGACCAAACACAAACATAGAGCTCACTTTCTGCAACACAGCTACACAGATGAAGCGTTTGTCCCTAACCTGCTGTAACACCCAGAAAAGCACTTCAGCACCTTGAGTTTCCTTCCCCGTGTGCAGAAGCACAAGGAGAGGCAGAGCAAAACACTTTAGGTTACACTAAACTCTTACTGAAGGATGTGCTACAACTGCTGAGAGATTTCTAGTGCTGTTAGAAACATTCTTTGAAGTTGACAATATAGATCCTTTCATTTGGGAAATGTGAAGCTGTTAAACAGAAGTTAACACGCTCTCGCTGTCACCGAAGGAGACAGAAACAATGTCATACACCTTTTTTTAACATATTCTTCCATTTTGATGAACTAATTAAAAATTGGTATTTGAGAAATAAAACGATCAGACATTTTATTACAGCTGAGTTTTCAAAACTGATTACCTTTCAAACAGGCTACTGAAATCAGGAAGCGAAATTCTGACAACTTAGGGCCTACATGTATAAAGCTACAAAAATTATGTAAACAAATCAACATGCAGCACAATAAACTTTCATGTTTTCCACATTTCAGAAGGTACTGGTATTTAAAGGACATTTAGAACTCTGCTGTGCAGACAAATCTGTGTTTCAATTAATTTCAATTTAGCAACCCAAGTTAACTAGTGTAGCCAGAATATGTTCTTAATTTGGACAAAGTCATTTGATAATGATGAATCAGTTGGGCATGTTTTTATCTCTGCAAATCTATGCACAAAAGACAGGTGACAGGGTGGGGAAAAAAAAGCTCTGAGAATATCTGCAAGGCAGCTGGGTGATAAAAAAAAAGTCATCTGAACTTATCAGGCTCCTGACTCCTCCCAAGAGGTAGAGATCTCATCAGTGTAGGGAGTTTTAGAAATTTCACTGAACTTTTATTCTTCCTTTGTCTCGCTGACGTGTTTCAACAGCATTTGCAGGCACACGAGGTGGCTCTGCCATGCTCCCAGTTGTGGTTAGAATGGCATGAAGCCCAAGCCAACAAGCTGTGCTTGTAAGTGGGTAATATTAGCTCAGGTCAAGGTATATTAAGCCAGGCCCAGCATCGTAGAAACAGCATCTACCTGGCTTCTGGCTGGCTCATGGTTCAGGCAGAATAAGCTCCTAATACTGGCTGGATCATAGCTTTTTCAAGTCCAGTTGTGAGGACAAGAATGCATTCAGAATAGAGACAGAAAGCCAGCATGTCAGAAGAAAGGTAAATGCAAAGTTATCTTAAGCTGCAAACATGACAAAAATCTTCATTACTGGGGTCCCAAGAGCAAGGACTGCACAGATGAGCATTTCTTCTTTCTCTGTTGGCTTTAAAGCTGCAGCATCTCATCAGACAAGACTTGTTCAACATTCGTAAAGCTGCATCAGAAGAACAATGTCTAAAAGATGAAGCAATTTCACACATCTTTTGCCTATAAGCCATGGATTTATCACCCTTCCCTTTCCAAGTCCCTCAGTTCAAGTATCTTCACTGGCTGACTGGCATTTCTCAGTCAACAGTGAAGAGATTACATTTATTAACAAGTAATTTTAGAATGGCTCCTTCTTAAATACATATCAAACTGCCAGTGCTGCCCAGTTACTTACCAACCTGGAGTTGGCTGACACCAAGCTGTTCAGCGTATTGAAACCATTCTTGATATTAAACCTTCGTTTCTGTTCTGAAATATGCTTCATCCTTTGATTCTGCATAAATAAAATCAGCTCAGTCTATGCTGTTCTTCATTCCCATTCTAATATCATGATTATTTCAGCTATTCAAATTCACTCTGTCATTTTTCTTGAATTGTGCCACTCAGTCTTCCCAGGCCAAGCCACATGATTATAAATCCACAAACAATTATTTCAGTTATTAAAAAGAAGTGTCCAGGGTATTAAATTCAACTCAAAACCTTGTAGATTTTCTTTCTAAAGTAAAAATTCATATTTGACTGTCACACAATTTCCTTTTCTGAGGTCAAATTCCAGTGTTTGAGACATGTAATCAGTCAGAATCTTGTTGAAGCCTTTAAGTTTAAAACAGTCCATATAATATATTCCTAATACATAATGTCTACTTATATAATGGGCAGTCTGACAAAAATAAAAAAGCAAATTAAAGAAGAATTTGCAACTCTGGCCTCCCCACAAGATAAAGGCTTTGTCAGGAATTAGCATTTTTTGAGAAGGCATTCCTGGCAGAGCTTGGCTTTCTGGCAGTAGCTCACCATCACCCCATTTCATAATGGAATAAAGCAGTGAAGTGGCTGCCCAAAACCACAGAAAATACAGGTTCAAGAGCAGAACTGAGACTTCCAGTGCCCTCTGTGCTTTGCCAAACTGAAAAACCAGCCTTACCCAGCAATACAGAACTGTTCAGTCCAACTAATGATGCAGAGGAGCAAAAGAACATACATCTAGAGCTTGGCAACCACCACTACTTCTGTCTTGTCTTACAAAAGAGTTGCTAACATCACACTTCCAAAGCAATTCCTGCCCAAGCAGGTGAGTTTAAATGGCTATTTTATTGCAGTGTCCTTACTTTTAAGAACACTCCTCCATCTAGTGGCCACTTTCCCACCATTGGCCAGTCCTAATTGTTCCTTTGTTAACTTGCTCTCTAGCAGCAGGAACAGGCTGCAACTACCTATTGTGAGCATTTATACCAAGAGAATAACTGCAAACTCTGATGAGTAACTTGCAGTGTGCTCAGCAAGAGGCAGTTCTGATTCTCCTCTGCAACAGAGCTAGAACTGAGTGCAATTACAGGCTGCAAGTATTTAAACTTACCTGTATGCCCTGGGAGTAATCAAGCTGACATCAACTCATTGGGTATACAATGACAGAGAAGCCAAGAAGGGGCTGGCACTTGCAATATGGTTAATTAACACTCCCTTTCACAACAGAATGAATGAGGTTACAGCTGATTGTCCTGCCTTGGTTGTTTTTTGCAGGCAAGTTCCTCACACCATCACAGAAAGTGTTCTGACAAGGTCAGCTTGTGTGTGAGGTGCAGTCAGCTTTCAGATGCTGTCTCTAGACTGAGTTCTTACCCCAATAACTCTCAAAGTGTTTTACAGCTGTAACTTGTAGAGTCTGTGGAGCAGCAAGGCATCACTGGAGATATGTAAGTAACTCAGCAGGTCAAGAACTCCCCCTCCAGTGATGGCCAGAGCCCTGCAGACTGAAGAGCCCCAACAGAACAATGGCAAAAAGCCACAGTTTAGAAAACTAAGCCTGAAATATTTCACCAAGTAAACTGAGAGCTGTCATAACACTCCTGTGAGCCACAGCAGGAACTGCTGTCATGACCACACAGACCTGCAGAGGTACAGTTAGGATTGGCCCCTGTGGTGACACATCCCTGAGGAGCAGAGTAGATTATTAAAGTCTGACATTTTAAATTGAGCAGAGCAGCACAGATGCAGTGCAAGGTAAAACTAAGGCACAAATATTCCACTCTTCCTGAAGCACAACTTACTCTCTAGTCCAGGCTCAAGCACTGGGATAGAAAAGTAGCTACAAAGGCAGAGAAGGAAAGCACCTTGAAGAAAAGGACACACACCTTAACTGCAGCCAGATTAGGGTCAGTGGCAGGTTTTCCTGAGCAGCTGTTCTGGGGAGACTGTGGACTGGGGCTCTGCTCAGAGGCGTAGGGGGAAGCCTGGCCTGAATTCTGACAGTCTCGGCCTTCATAAAGGAAGAGAGAGAAGTCACATTAACACCCAACCTTCCCCAGCAAACCTAACTGCTGAGCAGTTTCTATTCAGAATGGAGCTGAAACGCAGTTGGCAACCAAATGACACTCATTGATGCAGCAACCACATGCTAGAGAATGTCAGGACTGCTGGGAAAGCTCAGTATTTCCTGGTGGCACGAGGCTAACACATCCCCAATAGCAGCATGCAATTCTCCTTTCACACACACACATTTCAGCAAAGGTGTGTAGAACACACAGGCAGCAGTTCCATCATCCTGCTTGGACTGCCCCATTGAGGCTCTGCTGGCCTGGGGCATGATGGAAACGCAGCCAAAGCAGCATAAGTCTCTAAAACCAGCCCAGAGACAGCTCTATCCACGTGCATGAAAAAGGTGTCTTTGCACTTACCTGCTGTTCACAAGGATTGTGCCTGAGATCCTCTATCAAAATCAGAGTTATGACACTGAACAACAAACCTATTCAGCACTTTCTACACAGACACCTTTCAAGCAGGTTTCATTTGTGACTATGCCAGTACATCCTTCTAAAGGAGCCATTTACAGGAAGCACAAAATCACAGTTTGTGGGAATGCTGCACAGTAGTTTAAGACAAAAACTGCACAAAACTGGATGCAACCGACGCTGCAGGGTAGAAGGGCCTAGAAAGCTTTTCCTTCAAAAATTATCCAGGGATCCTCAAGGCCCATTTAAACCCTGCCTAGCCAATGGAAACACACTTACATGTGCAGGGGAGACAGAATGCTCACAGCTTTCTAACTTACTAGGTGTAGGTGAGGGAACTTGTGAACTGCTACTGTGGGAAGGGATTTTCTCTCCTTTCACCAACACATCCTGGACTACACTAGGAGAGAAGAGATGTGAAACTGTGGACTGGGTTTGTTGACTACTTGGTGCTCGCTGTGCTGGACCAACCAGAATGTTACTACGGAACTCCGTCACCCCGGGAGCCTGGGAACAGCACAGAACAGCACAGAGAGAAACAGGGAGAAGGAAAAAGAGCAGGAAGGGGAGATGGGGGCAGAGGGAGAGAAGGGATGAGAGAAAGGAGGAAGGGGGAGAGAGAGAAAGAGAGAGAGAGATTTGTTACCTTGCCTTTTGCTAGAAGTAGCAAATTAATACATGATTAACAATCTGATGACATGAGACAAGGGCTAATATACAAAGAATTGGCAGGCACTGAAGTCAGACTTCTGGCAGGAGACCAGTATCCTTTCATAACTTAAAGCAGCATTACAATACATCAACAGCATAACATACTAAAAACTATTCCCATCTTCCTGCATACAGCATATTAGGAAACCCACTTATATACTCAAGGTATGCTTTCCAGTATGTGAAAAGAAAGGTGACATCCTGGGTTCCTTTTAGCTGCTGCACAATTAACACAAAGCACAACCCATCCCCACTCACAGGGCTCTGTACACATCCCTCTTTGTAATCTTGCTGTTGAGTGACACTGAGTCCATGAAGACCAGAATGTGCTTCTAGGCCCACAGCGTAGCTAAATTAAGTAAACATAATGCTGAATGCACACATGTGTATGCTGGGTAACAGGTGAGATTTAGGGGACTGGTTATACTCCTGAGCACACTGTGGCTCTAACTACTTGCAAATAACAGGCCTAAAAAACAAATATATTTTTTTTTCTTCTCCTTACTCTGACAATTCCAGTTGGTGCAATTGCAACATTAGACTGAGACGTGGCTGGCGTCAAAATCCCCTCTCTTTTTATAGGTGCTGGAGTTACAATCACAGCTCTGGACTGTCCCTGAAAGGCAGCTGAAGAACACAAGTTAAAATAGTTAATGAGACAAAAAAAAAAAAAATTGAAAAAAAAGAAAAGAAAAGCTTGTCATAACTTGTCATTGAACAGGGGAATGGAGTAACAGGCACCTATTCAGTACTCTTTCATTGCAATACAAAACGCCAGCAGTTGTCCAGTAGTCTCAATCCCATGAATCCAGTACAAAGGACTCGACCAGAGCAGTTATTTCTGAGGCTTCTAGCATCACTTCCCCGTTCCCAGGTCCATTTACTGAGGGACCCAGTGATTCAGGGAGATGAGATTCACAGAAGAAGGATCATCTTCACCTCTCGCCTCACAGCCATACTTCTTGGACCTCAGGCTTGCTCTGCTGACCCAGAAAGGGTCAGTGCCAGACACCAGCTGAAGGCTGCACACTCAGTACTTCATGCTTCCTCACCTGTATACCCAATTCTCTTCCTGGCCACTTCACTCTACTACATTCTTTCACTACCTGTTTTTACGGTTACTTTACAGGACACACAAGCACAAGACAAGCAAATGTGACTGGGAATCAGCACCAAAATTCCAGAAAATAGGCTGAAGAACCAGGAATTCTGCAGTGTTAGATGGCTGGAGGTAACTGTGAACAGCAGCAACCACCTCCACGAAGGAAGTTACACAAAATTCTCAAAAGAATTCCCTACA